GTTACTGTTAGCCATCTTTATAAAATATACGTCCCGAGAGATTTAAACTGTCCAGAGATATGGCATAATAGTTGGTATGGTATGGTATTCGTCGAAGAGATGTGTACAAAATACAACAACCTTAACAATTAATTTGAGACAAAGAGGGGAAAAACTGTTAAGGAAAATCTCAAAAAACTGAAACTTCTAACAATATCTCTAATAGCTCCACATTTAGTGCTTTTAAATTACATAATATATTCATGATTATAATTTTAATGAAATGAAAGCTGTTACCAAGTTTTTACGACTTAATACGCATAATTTATAGTGTTCGTTTGTAAGAGTAAGTATATTACGTTTGGAACAGTTGTAAAGTTTGAGTGATAACTTGTCACTAGGTGAAAGTACTTGAAAATTGTTGAATTTTTTATAGCATCAGAGTGACAAACGACCACACAGTCCATACGATGGTAAGTGGACAATGTGGCCTATAGACATCAATATCCACCCTCAAAACGCAGATGCGTTGTCACCCCAGAGAACTAACATCTCTCATTTCCAGTAAAAAGGGTTTCCGGTTCTCTACACTCACCATAAGAAACACGCCAGCATTATGCTGCTATTTTATGCTCATATTCTACTGAGAGTGTGGTTGTACAATTGAGAATATATCGAGTAACATATACAAAATATCACACAGTCCAATTCCACTTTTAGCCGAAAGCTTCCTCCTTTTTAGGGTTCCGTGGTCAACTAGGAACCCTTATAGTTTCGCCATGTCTGTCTGTCCGTCTGTCCGTCCTCGCTTAATCTCTGTGACCGTTAGCACTAGAAAGCTGAAATTTGGTACCAATAATATTGGATAATAATTATGTGTATCAATCACGCCGACAAAGTGGTAAAATAAAAATTGGCAAAAAATGTTTTATTAGGCTATATGTAAAGTGGGAAGTGATTTTTTTTTAATTTCAACCCTAACGTGTGATATATTGTTGTAAAGGTATTTAAAAATGAATAGGGGTTTACTAAAATCATTTTTTGATAATGTCAATAATTTCGGAAATAATCGCTCCAAAAGTAAAAAACAGTGTGTCCCCCCCCCCCTCTAACTTTTGAACCATAAGTTTAGAAAATATGAAAAAAATCTGAAAAGTAGAACTTTATAAGAACTTTCTAGGAAAATCATTTTGAACTTGGATGGAAACAACAGTACTCTCTACCGGGAGCAGTTGCAGGAGCGCGGAGCGCTGCTGGAGCACGAACATAATGGATACCCACCTTTAAACTCATAAGTGGGAACACTTATTGTGACGGACGGGAAACTACGGAACCCTACACTGAGAGTGGCCCGACACGCTCTTGGCTGGTTTTTTAAAGTCTGCTAAAAAGAAAAGTCAGAGACATCAGGAGTAAAATTTAAATAGCTAGCTAAAATAATAAGAAATCGTGGTTGAGAACCCACCTACTAAGCGTAGCAACAATGCCAGAACCCTCCCAATATAAATTTTAAAATATGTAACGAACCCCTAAAACTGTGTTTTATTAATCTTCGAAATCTGAAAAAACAGTGCATGGAAAGATACGCTGCCGATACGTATCCATTTCGCTGATAGTAAAACGAACATGATAAATGAACAGGTGGAAAACTTTAGCTCAAAACAAATAAAATGTATGCAATGCAGGGCTTCACTAAATTCTAACGATTTGATAACCAAATACAGTTCGACGAAAACTCGTCGTCAACAATTCGATACGTCAACTGAATATTCAGTTGACGTATCGAATTGTGGTAACATTGCTTTTATGGGAACCAAAAGTCGTACAAAATTTAAGATGCGCTTTCTCGTATTCTTGATGTGAATGACGCGTAAATGGATTTCAAGGCACATATCGTTTATAAGAATTGTGAAAGTTATTATTTTAACAGAATGTGAATGAATTAAATTAAGCGTACAATATTTACTCTATTCTTGGATTTTATTTTTACTAGAACACTTTTCGCGAATATTTGCTGAAGACTATGAAATATAATTATTTTTAATATAAATTCTCTATATTTTTTAAACTGCAAAACCACATAATATTATAAATATGTCATAAACAAACCGTAAAATTATTTTGAGGCAAGCAGTGGGCTCCTAGTGATTTCCAGCAGTGGAACGTTAAATTAAATACAATTATAAGCTTTCAAGAAACATGTTTAAAAGCAACGAGATAGTTAAAATTATAAATTATAATATTGAGATTTATTAATAGAACGTAGAAATAAAAAGCATTTTTATTGCTATGTTCTATTAACCTACGAAGAATAGCCACTTAAAAAGCTACTATAGCTTTTTAGCCCATTATGGAGTAAATAAATAACAATTATGGCTAAAGTAAATTAACAGTTCAAAGTAACTCGTTCGAGCAGTAAGCCGGGTGCGCCCGAATGTAGTGACGTCACAAGGACGAGGCAACACATCAATTACCCGCGGGCTTGCTCCCGCTCCCAAGCTAATACAAAACCCATGCATCTTGGACGCAATTTTAGCGAGTATATTGAAGCGAGTACTATGCTCCTTGACATTTAAACAGCAAAATGAACTTCGGCTATTGACTTTCACTTCTCCGTCTTTTACTTAGTAACTTTTTCAATTAAGTGCAAAGTTAACCGAACTTTATTTGTTCTGAAGAAACACGTTTGCAAAAATCAAATTTAAAACGTGATTTTGAACGTGGAAATATTAGAAAAAAATATATTTTGATCATCTATTTCTATTCGAACTTGTCGTAATTTAGGTTTATAGCAAATTTAGGGTAATCTCATACAATAAGCCACTTTAAGACTATCTGAATTGCTCTATAAAGGTAAAGATCAAAATACGCGTAGTAGCACAACTTTATGAGCTGCTATAAATTGTTCTTTATTGGGGGGATCTCACGCAAAACGACATTGCAGAATACCGCTCAATCGTAAGGAGCACCATTGATATCTTATTAGAACTACAATTTTTTATTTACACAACATTCAAATAAATACAATATTACAATATTTATTTGAAAAAAAAAACATAATTAAAAATACTAAAACTAGAAACTTAAATTATCATATCATCACTCGTCGCGGTATATGCCAAGAACGCTGGCTGGGTTTTCTCGCTGAATGGCGATAATTAGCCATTAAGCGCAAAAATAACCAGTACTTCATCAGCAGCAGCGACGAACAGTCGCGGATACAGTTCCATTAGGAACTTCAGCGCAAGTGGACCCACGGACCGATAGTCTCTTTCAACGCCAAATGACACAAATATGTAGTCATTCTCAGTGATTCATACTTGCGCCACTTACTTAGTTTTACTGCCGCTGATGCCGGCCCGGCTCTAAACTAGGTCCCCTGAGATGAACGGCTGCCAAAGTGAACGCAAGTGAACTCCTGCCATCATCTCTAAATATTCCACAAGGCTCTAAAACCGAGGCATCTATAGAGACACGAGCACTTCTCGACTCGTCGAACTCGTCGACGCTGCTAGCACAAGGACACTGATGAGGTTGACAAATCGCCGCTCCTAGGCGAATTCCAAGAGCCGTGGTAGCTCAGATGGTTAACGCTCGCTGTAAATATAACAGAACGCGAGGGACCCGTGTTCGATCCTCGCCGGCAGCAATGAAATTGTTTAATTGCAATTTTAAGTGCTGATTTACCACGTGCTCGGCGGTGAAGGAAAACATCGTGAGGAAACCTGCATGTCTGAGGAATAAGAAAAAAAATATTACGAAGACGTGTGAAGTTCACCAACACGCATTGGGGCATCGCGGCGGACACTTTCTTGCCCTGAAACCCTCTCAGAAATGAGGGGAGGCCTGTGCCCAGTAGTGGGACGTATATAGGCTGTAACTTTACTTTTTTTTACTTTAAGCGAATTTATAAGTCTATGCGCAACTCTCCCGATCAAGTAATAACCCGGAAATAGCTTGCTAGTAAAGCGTGTGCCCAGTGACTAGATTCCTAACTTGAAACAACAAGAAGGCTGGGCTGATCTAGGTCACTACGGAAATTATGAAACGAATCTTTCTGTACACTCTGTACTAACGATATATACCCCTGTTTTTGTTGGATACCTTCCAGTGGAACATTTTCGGAGGGACTGAGCGTTAGCCATGTTTGCTTTGCCTCATCAACAAAGCCCAGGTCTACTTTATTATTTAAAATTACGTTACCTAAGTCACGGACACTGCACGGAAACAAGGAAAGCGTGGCAATACAACGCTAGACTTCTTACACCGATACCTCAAATTTTATAGGTAAAGTAGCTCGAGTCCAGGCATGGCATGGCTTGCCACTATGTCCAATGTTGTACTTAAAATTTCCAGACTAAGGCGGAGTAAGTATTTAATTGCATATTTTAAAACAACAATGAAAAGAAATAAAATAAGTTTATTTAGTAAAGTTTTACAAATTTTATTTTTAAAACAGGTATTTTCAAATCAAAATATACCTAATTCTATCAAAAACCAAATAACGTAGGCCATACGAAATAAATAAAATATTTCACATTTATTGCTATTTGATAAGTTGGTTTAAGGCCAATATTTAAAACAAAAATTAAAAATATGAGCAAGATCACCAAGGACGTCATCCAGACATTCAGTTTGGATTTCAAAATTGAAATAATGAATTGAATTCCCAAATTTAAAAGAGCTGGACCTAGTGGGTACATCCTGCTGAACACCGAGAGCAAAATTGAACCACAAAATTCAGCTCCCATTGACGCTGAATCTAACCACGCGTAACTAGGTCTAAACAAGTTTGCAACTTACGAGTTTACGGCCAAAGTTTCACTTGGAAACTTAACTCCCTAAAGTATAAGCACATTCAGTTTCGTAAGAAGTAACCACCAAGGACGATGTTATGCATATAGATTTCGCGAACGAACGGGCATCGAACTGTGTATCGAGTTAAAAATACCGAACACCGGCATGTAGAGTTGCATATAAGCGAGCACACCGGTTGGACTACTCGCGCGAGCCACAAGCACATGAGTTTGTTTACTATCGGGCGGGATCGCGACGGCGCGTACGAGACAGGCGGGTGGGTGTTCGCTGGTAACTTACGGCGGATGCCCCAGTCCATGTCGGCGGCGTACGGCGCGCGGCGCGGCGTCTACCAGCCGACTGCCGCCACCCGCGCTCCCGGCTCCCGCACGCTCATGCACTTGCCCGAGCATTGTCCGCGCTTGGACTCCCCGGCTCCCCGCGCCAACTCCATTCGGTAAAACGTTCAAGTACTAATCGCGACGACACAAAGCTCGCATGTTCTATTTATTATTGTACATTCGGACGATCGCGAAAGTCGCGTGACGTGATGTATCGCTCGACGTTGACCTAAATCTACGATGTCCGCGGCCTTAGATCGCGTTCGCTAATGAAAAGTGTTTTGTGCAGGTGTAGATAGATAACATTAACCCGTAATTACACTTAGTATATATTAAAAAGCACTACTAAGTGTTTTTAATTATACGCGTCATTATACATTTTAAGATAATAAGCAATAAGGTTATAAAGTTTTCAGCTTAGAGTATAAGTAATAGCTCGCTCATAAACAAGAAGATGGATTACAATAACGACGTACTCGTAGGACGGAACTTTAATCTATGAATCAAGTATAATTTTATTTGAATTAAGACAATTTTTATCCGATTGATGAACTAAGGTAGGTACCTTATTAGGTACTACTATTTGGTCTCTACACAAAATATTTCATGTAGTTCTTAAGTAAAAGCTAAACAATTAAATATTAAAAAAAACAATTAAATTCAGGAAGTAATGTAATTGTGTATGGCACCAAAATTAAAATGAGGCGAATTGATCAGAAAAAGAATACGAAAACTAGCGATAGATCTACAAAATGTTTCTGCGCTATAATTATTAATAATAAAATAAAATAGAAATATTTTATATTACCTAATAATAAATTATAATTAATAATAATTTATTATTAGGTATTAAAATTCCTCAGAATAAGAAAAAAAAATCTTTCGAAAACATGTGAAGTTCGTCAACACGCATTTGGGCAGCGCGGCGGACACTTCCTTGCCCTAACCCCTCTCAGAAATGAGGGGAGGCCTGAGCCCAGCAGTGGGACGTATATAGGCTGTAACTTTACTTTACTTTTTAGGTAATAAAAGTATGTATACAAAATTTTAATTTCCTACGGTAATTGCATCAACAGTGTCTAATGAATCACCAGGGCTGTTTGTGCTAAAAAAAATTGTGGCTTCTGATAACCACCTCGTTTACGCCAACGGTAAAATACACAGACCAGCAATGGATAGAGGCGTCAAAGATTCATGCTTTCCAAGTGCGTCAATTAAGGTAAATACACCCCTAAAACAGTAAAGGTCCAAATTCAGCAGTTGACTTTTACGATCTAAAGAATAACATCATTAAAATAATAAAAAAAAAACATTAAAATTCATGAAAAATCTACAAGAAAAGTTATATTGAAAATATACATATTTTGTATATTATAGTATCCGATGGGATACATAGACCTATGTACCCCAGCTATCGAATACTACAGAATTTAAGTTACATATTGTATAACATTTCGTCAGGATAATACTTTTACACTAAATAAAATAATCACCTATTTCATTGAATGTACATGTACATGTGATCCAGGTCAGATATCTATACCTAATATTTGATAATACGATATGTAAACATTTTATGAAAGTTTTTACAAAACTGCAAGTACTTCTAAAGAATCCAAAAAAAAAGCAAAATGTTCAAAAAAAGAATTGTAGTTTTTATGTATTTTACAAAAAAACTGCAATTATTCTGAAACTGGAAAACTTTATTACTGGTTTCGCAATAGTGACATAAAAGTAGCGCAGAAGTAAACAATTCACAATTATCCTATATTTTCTCTCAAAATAAGCTCTATAAGACTTAAGCTGAGAACAAATAAAGCTGAGAACAAATTATCGGACGCGGCTGACAGCCGCGGCTTATTGAGATCTAGCCAGTACATTTTAATACTACACTGTGCAAACTATCGGCCGTAAGACGCGGACATGACCTTGCGTCGCTCTTGAGCGTTCGGACGTCCGAACAGAATCTGGCAGGCTGGATGTTTGGTGCGTCCGCGGACAGAGTGAACGGGGCACGGAACGCGTCCGCGGACGTTTCGAGTGTCACAAGCGAACCAAATGCGCTCGCGACATGATGTGTAATGAAAAAAATATTAATTGAATGTGTTCATGGCCACGAGTGCCTATATTTATAAGTACATTCATAAGTACATTTTTTAACGTTTATCATCTTTTTGTAAGTCTGGATACAATGTATGATATTCATCATACTCGAGTCGTTTTACATTAATATCATGGACCCAAGCACTCCTTTTCACTTTTTTTAGGAGGACAGCATAAAACAGCTGCCGCTAACTTTATAGATTCATCCTCGCTGTCACTGCTTGTCATATTTCTCGAATGACAAACCTTTATGGAATGACCGAAGCGAGGCGTCCGAAGACGCCGTCTCGACTACCGTGCACACCGCTAAGCCGCGTCTGTCAGCCGCGGCTGACAGACGCGGCTTATTGAAATCTAACCAGTACATTTAATACTACACTGTGCAAACTATCGGTCTTAAGACGCGGACACGACCTTGCGTTGCTCTTGAGCGTTCGGACGTACGAACAGAATCTAGACGGCTGGATGTTTGTGCGTCCGCGGACAGTGTGAACGGGGCACGGGACGCGTCCGCGGACGTTTCGAGTGTCACAAGCGAACCAACTGCGCTCGCGACATGATGTGTGATGAAGAAAAATTAATTGAATGTGTTCGTGGCCACGAATGCCTATATAACCTCAAACTGCAGCACTATAAATGTATTTATTCTTAAGTAAATTTTGTAACGTTTATCATCTTCGAGTCTTTTTCACAAGGAGTGTTTGGGTCCCCTTTTTTCTGAGGACAACATAAAGCAGCTGCCGCTAACTTTATAAATTCGTCCTCGCTGTCACTGTTTGTCATATTTCTCGATTGACAAACCTTTCTGGAATGACCGAAGAGAGGCGTCCGAGGACGCCGTCTCAGCTACCGTGCACACCGCTAAGCCGCGTCTGTCAGCCGCGGCTGACGGACGCGTCCGATAATTTGTTCTCAGCTTTATGTTTTCAAGAACCGAGCGCAGAGCATAAAAATCTCAAGCTTACCTTTAAAATAGTTGTAAAACCTGTGCACAAAAACAGTGACCACTTCACTTCACACAAGTTCGAGATAATTTCCTCAATAAATGGCACCTATGTAGTTAGCTTCCATTGACAAGAAATGTTTGGTGTTCCATTAAAAAGTATATAAATCTACAAAACATTAAGCTAACAAACTGTTATAATATAAGTTGAATAATGAAAGTTGCGCAAATTTATAATAACAAACAAAATTAGTAAAATGACAATATTAAATAGCCTTTGTTTGCACACATAACATATAAAATGCATTACTTAATATGCGCAGATTTAAATGTATTTAAATATAGGTATGCATAATATGTACTTATATCGCACCTTCATTTCGAAACCGTTACAACAGCAAAATCTACAGAATTAATTTGACAGGTCTATTTAGTTTCCCAATATTTTGGTAGATGGCGCTAAATTAAAACGCTATTTAAATGATATTTAAAACATAAATACAGACGAAACCGTTACTACACCAGTTGTGTAACTATTTGTTTAACTACGGCTGTTTTTGTCATTAAGGTAAATTATTTACTTATTTTTATTTAATAAAGTGTGGTTTTTCGTTTAGTCACAGTTTTTAACTTAGAGTATACTTTGATTCTTCAAATTTTGTACGATAAATTGTTACTTTTTGTATAATCCGTTTACTTTACATTATGGATAAAATTATGACATTAATATTTAGCATAAAATAGTGATTATTTGCTTAGTAGAATTTATGAGTAAACAAGTTGTAGAGTTCATTGTTTTGATTATTTACAGAAGTGTGACTTTTAGGTTAGATGCAGTTTTCTATTTAACGCGGTGACAATTAGCATTAGGTGGCTGTGCGTTATCTGTCAGTCAGTCTCTAGAGTTTTATTAGGAAGACAACAATATTATTATATTATATAATATTTATTAGAATAATAGTAAGACATTCTTAAAAGGTAACGCTTATTATATTTTTTGCTTCAGATAATGTCATATCTAAGAAATCCACGCATAAAACTTATTGTGGCTGCAATGCAAGCTGAAGAAGCTTCATCACGGGATGAGTCTTTGCCTAAATGAAGAACTGAGAACGTCTACTGCAGCCGCACCTTTAATAAAATCGCATAAAGAATTAGTGGGTGTTAATAATGTACATCCAGAAAATTAGATGATGCCGGGGACATCTATGAGTGGTACTGGTTTGTTTGATATAGCGACAGAAAATTGTCTACCTAGTAAGAGACCAAGGTCTGATTCTTCTAGCTCTGGTACATCTTCGTCAACTAGCACATCTTCATCGACATCATCTAGTACATCTTCAGGTAGGTACCCAAAGATATACCTAATTTATTCTTGTTGTGTGCTTGACTGTGTTGTAAATATTTTTGCTTTCTTTTTTCGCTCAGGTAAGGACTTTTCCCCTGATGAAGCAGATAACGATCCTGACTACGTAGAACCAGTTGCACTTACACGACGTGTTTCAACATCTTCATCTAGCTCTTCTCTTCAACATGATAATGGTATGCAGCAAGTACATATCGAAGCTTTGAGTCACGAGGTAGTGCAAGAAATTGATTCAATTCAGCAGGCAAGGATTCACGAGGTAGTGAAAGAAGTTGATTCAGTTCAGCAACCAAGGATTCCCGAGGTAGTGCAAGAAGTTGATCAAATCCAGTAGCCAAGTGTGAGTACCTCTTGCACACGTAAACGCAAAAGAAACATTTCTAAAATAAACCATACATTACAAATACACTTCATTATCCAAAAAAAAGATTATTCCTAAAAGAGAGATAGAAACTCCGTGTAATAAATGCAGATTAAAGTGCACTGAGAAAATTACGCAACAGGAAAGAGAGTTTTTATTTGAAGAGTATTGGACTACTTTAACGTATGGTAGTGAAAGTTGGGTGTGAAGAATCGAAAAAATCGAAGAAGAAAGAAGGTTGGGTAGAATCAACGCAGTAGAAATGCGGTCCTTAAGGAGTATGTTAGGGCTAAATCTGAACGACAGGGTAAGAAATTGTGTAATAAGAGAAGAGTGTGGTTTGCAAGATGATGTTGTGACCAGGATTAAAAAAGGAATGCTTCGGTGGTAGGTCATGTGGAAAGAATGAATGAGGAAAGAGTGACAAAGAAAATTTATGTTGCAGAAGTGAATGGCAGAGTCGGAAAGGGACGTCCTAGGCGAAAATTTATCGACCAAATTGGCGATTTATTGAAAACGGGCCAAATTAGGAGTACCCTTAACCGACGAGCATGTATGCGTAGGTGTATGGATGTGAAGGAGGCGAGAGAGGTGTGTCAGGATCGTGCCAAAAGGAAGTCTGTAGTCTCTGCCTACCCCTCTGGGTGACAGGCGTGAGTGTTTGTGTTATGTTATGTTATTGGAAACTTGGTGATTTGACGAGACAGCGGGATTTCTTAGCAAAGTGTATATCCCAGATATCAGTATAAAGTGCATAGTAGCAATAGAGGGCCTAAACATTCTTTTTGCTTCGAAATTAATAATGTTAAAATTTGTGTCTGTAAGTTATTTTTAAAAGTACTAATAATAATAATAAAAGCTATAAATAATAGACCAATAGCAACTGTCATTGCAAAAAAGAATAAATCGGGTATTGCCGAAAAAGAAAAAACAGGCAAACATGGTAAACAAGTATAATGAAATTGATTGTAATATTAAACAAGGCATTAAAAGGCATATAGATAGTATAGTATACCTAGAATAGAGTCGCATTACTTGAGACAACAAACGACACGCGAATATATACTGTGGAAAAAATCTGACGGATTTATATAAAGACTACCAAACAGAATGCATTAATAATGGTAAAGAAGCTGCTAAAGTTCACATTTATAGACAAATTTTTAATGAACATTATAATATTAGTTTCTTTAAACCTAAGAAAGATCAATGTGAATTATGCACATCTTATAATAAAAACCGGCCAAGAGCGTGTCGGGCCACGCTCAGTGTAGGGTTCCGTAGTTTCCCTCCGTCACAGTAAGTGAGTTAGTTAGTTAGTTACTGAGCTTATGAGTTTGTACAAAAACTGTTCTTTCCATCCAAGTTCAAAATAATTTTCCTAGAAAGTCCTTATAAAGTTCTACTTTCCAGATTTTTTTCATATTTTCTAAACTTATGGTTCAAAAGTTAGAGGGGGGGGGGACACATTGTTTTTTCCTTTAGGAGCGATTATTTCCGAAATTATTGACATTATCAAAAAATGATTTTAGTAAACCCCTATTCATTTTTAAATACCTTTCCAACAATATATCACACGTTAGGGTTGAAATTAAAAAAAAAATCACTTCCCACTTTACATATAGGGGGGCTACCCTAATAAAACATATTTTTCCAATTTTTATTTTACCACTTTGTCGGCGTGATTGATACACATATTGGTACCAAATTTCAGCTTTCTAGTGCTAACGGTCACAGAGATTAAGCGAGGACGGACAGACGGACAGACAGACATGGCGAAACTATAAGGGTTCCTAGTTGACTACGGAACCCTAAAAATGACGTAGACCATAACACATAATTACAAGCAAAGTATGAACAACACCAAATTTAAAAAGAACTGAGCCGTAAAGAAAAGGCAAATGACAAGGCTTTGGTAAATGCCAACCATATTGTTGCTTGTTATGATCTGCAAGCTGTGCTTCCCCTTCCGAAGGGTGAGGTATCGACTTTATATTATAAGTGTAAACTTAATGTTTTTGATTTTACCAAAGTGAATTAGCCAACAATTGTTGTGATTTTTTTGTTTGGAGTGAAGTGGATGCGTTGAGGGGAGCCAATGAAATCGCAACATGCGTGTTAAAATATTTAACAAAACGAGTATCTGAAATTAATAACTATGAGTTACAAGTCACATTTTACTCGGACAATTGTTGTGGCCAGCAAAAGAATCAATTTATGTTTGCCGTATCAGCTTATAAAATTAATTCTATCACGCGATTTAGTGGGCATACGCAGAACGAAAATGATTCAGTTCATTCAGTCATCGAAAAAGCTGTTCATCATCAAAGTACGTACCTGATGACTACATTAATGTCATAAAATCTGCGCGAAAAAAGAGCAACCCTTATAAAGTTAATCCAATGTGTTACTCTGATTTTATCGATATTATGAGCTTGTCAGAAGAATGTGGTGTACGTTTCTCCAAGCATACCCTAGGGGAAACGGTTAGATTAATTAGAAATTAGAAAATTGTTTGTAACTTTCTAGGAAAAACATGTGTTACATTGGAGTTGGAGGTCATGAAAAGTTCCAAAATTCGTGACCTCACCCTGGTTGTCTACATGTTACTATCAGACTGGGACTCAACAACTAGCATGTATAATCAACATAAAGTTAGGAGCTGAAATTAATAGATCTTTGTGAGGAGCAAGTGCTCGCCGTGAATTTAAACGGTAGCGTGCAACCCGGACTCCATTCCTGCCAGCACATATTGCAGCAGAAATTTTTACCAATTATATTAACCTCGGATAAAACGGTACGTCGTACTCGGGAAATTTAGAATGAGTGCCTTTGCGTAACACAAGCATGTCACTATATTATTTACAGTTGATAGCTCCCGAAAGCATTTATTATAAGTTATTTCTACAATCAGTGAGAAGGGTAACATCTGAATGTATATGTAACATGGGAATTAAGTTGATTTTACACGAGAAAGTAGCTTGCCTTGCACATAAGCATGTAGTAGTCACATGTCAATTTTTTTTTTAAATTTACTCAAACGGATTTCCTTCGTAGATATCACACAATTTAGTTTTTAATTAATATTTATTTGATAGTTCAGCAAAATAAACGCCTGATTTTACGAACTATAATATGTATAAATGTAATAAAAATTTTGTTTCATCATAATATAAAGTAAATGATACGGCAAGAAAAAACTAACATATAGTAGGTCAAAATATAAAGGAGATTTATATACTCATTACTTCATATATTTATTACGTTCATATTTTGCGATAGAATGTATTTACAGTCTGTCTAAATTTGCATGTAAATCAACTTTCAGTGTAGTGAAGTAGTGCTGAAGTTAAACCTATGCCACTTCAACGCGCGCTTTCCTATTTTAAAACGGGAAAAGTTTAATTCAAATTAACTTCTATTCGCCCTCTATACTCTTCGAGTGTATAAGCAATTTACATATGAATGTAAAGTTTACACTAATATTATTATTAATTAAACTGTAATGGTAGTGGTTACTGTCACGGTATAGATAATATTACCGTGTTACTGTGGCCCATAGACGCTTACATTTTACTCTCGATTAAGAATCAAAATACTGTTGTTTTTATACGTGGTAGAACCACGCCGCAGCTATATTACGGTTGTAGCATGAATGGGTCGGCTCGACCGGGGAAGGACCACGCTCTCACAGAATACCAGCGTGAAATAGTAGCTTAACGCTGCTGTGTTTCGTATGGTGAGTGTAGAGACCGGAGACCCTTTTTACTGGAAACGAGGCATTCCATCTTAGTCCTCACAGGTGACAACGCATCTGCATTTTGATTCGTAATCGAGTATAAATGTAGATGTCTAGGGGCCGCAGTAACTACTTAACATCAGGTGGACTGTGTGCTCGTTTGTCACTCTATCCTATAAAAAAAGCATGAGGACTATAGGTAGTGGTCTCGACACCAGTAGAAATGGTCCCTGGTTCCGGTCACTTAGCGTACAAAACATCGCATTATGCTTCTGTTTTACAATGATATATTATTAAATCGTGAGAAGTGGAGTTATATAACAATTTTAGTATTTAAACTTATTATTGCTATAAAAATAAATAGTATAAACATGTATTGTTTTTAAATAACTTTTTTGTTTAGTTGTTCTTTTGAACTCATAGTAGAACTAGTTGGACAAACCCATACCAAATATAACTTTAAACAATAAATAACGAGTTAAAGAGTAAAATTTGACATCACACTTGACACGAATATTACTTTATGAAACCATACTGTATGAAAGACATTATACAGATATAAAAAATAAAAAATAAATAATAATCGATATTTCAACAGCAAAAATGAATATATCTATAAACTGTTACTGTGGCTGTTACATTAAAATATTTTTGCTTTGACAATTTCATATTTTCTCACCACACTAAAATCTCAATGTAAAAAGTCAACATCTTTTTGAACTTTGCGCGTATTGTGTTCGCGAGATACAGATTAATTAGTTCTTCATTCACTATTATTATTTAATTTTTGGTATTTATATCTTATAGGCGCACTAATTACAAATCCTTAGTTAATGTTTTTTATGTAATAGGTCTCGTGTAAAAACAATAATAAACAACTATATAAAGGGAAATAAGCTTAACAACTAGGAGCACTTATTCGGTTTTTCTTGCTAAAGAACCTTCTGTGATCGGTTTATAGTAAAAACAATTAGAAGTCCATACTGTTTCATCAAGTAAGCAGTTTGGAACTTATGTTTATAGTTATGAAATTATAACATGTTTTCATAGTAAGAAATAAAATACCTCGAAACAATAGACAGATTTACGTAGACATTTTTTAATCTTACCATCTACATAAAAATTGTCACATCAAATAGTCGGTACTACTTCTCTCTCGCCGCCTAATTCCGCAATAATTGGGTAATATTAATATATATAAGTTCTACCACTAGTCAATTTCTTCAAACGGTTGTAGATACTGTCGTTTTCAATAAAGTGACATTGTACGTCAGATGAGGATTTTATCTAGGCATTTGAGGTACCTATTATAACCGTTGAGTATGAATGAGTGTGTGCTTTTTAATTATATCATGTCGTTCTTTGTAGGTTTGTGAAAGTGCATGCGATTTTAGTTCTTAATATTATAACTTTTTTTCAGAATAAGATTAAAATGAGTGATTCTGAAAATCTGTCTGCAGCAAAAACAAATCTTTCAACTAGTTCCGATTTACTGAAAAAGAAAAATGCACACAGACGAATTTGCAGTTTTTAGATGTAGTGGACGAAAAAATATTCCTTCATTAGATCAATCCCTAATAATAATTATAAAACATATTTCGTATTGTGTCAAAAAGACAATTATAAATGGCGGCCAAACTGTCTACAAAATCGATCGATCGATTATTTTTATACTCTGTCACGGCCACTTGGCCTTTGACCCACTAGGCCTGGCAGCATTATATGCGCATGCCTATGTCACTGTATATCAATGGCTGCGTTTGGCAGAAAAAAGCGCTAGCAAGCGCTTGTAAGCAAAATGGCGAAACTATACATTTTCGGCCAGGACACGTACACGACACTTCAGTAGCGCTGACATAATCCGCCATTTTACTTATTTTTTTTTTCGAAGTAGAGTTTATAAGTTGTTTTATGCAATTAGATTCAAGTAATATAATGACATGAATAAACATATTATACATGTTGTAAAAAATTCATGATTGGTAAGTTTTTAATATGAATACTTTACAAACATATATTTAAATTAGGTTAGGTTTCCCGGTTAAAGCTAACTTCGTGTCCTAGAGGAAAATAGCTATTTACCATTTGACAGCGCTTACCGCTTACAATCGCCATTTTGCTTACAAGCGCTTGCTAGCGCTTTTTTCTGCCAAACGCAGCCATTGTACGAATACCACTAATTCAAACGCATATAAGTTTTTATACGTATTTTAGGGTAGGGGCAACACTCGCACAGTAGTCAACAGATATGGTACGAACTGTAAGGTATGATGTTATGATAAAACGACTTATTACACTAGTTTACTTTTTTAAGACGTTTTGTATTACTAGAAGACAACCAGTCAATATTATCCATATACCAAAATATTTTCAGTTCATACAATACAACATATTATCTCTATTTTATTACATGAAAACAATCTAGAACAAAAAAAAATAAGAATAAGTTTGCACTAGGACGACATACCTATAAGTCAAATTAGTAGAATCTTACATGTTATGTTTAAAAAACATACAAGATTTTAATGAAAATCTATTATAGCTTCAAACGAATAAAGAAATATGTGACGCGGAAACCATGCTTAACTTTGAATAAAACTATTATTTAAGGATTTTATCGCGTTTAATTACTTTAATTTATTTTTATTATTATCCCGACGTTTCGGGTGCTTTACAGCACCCATGGTCACGGGGGGGACTGGAAACGTCGGGATAATAATAAAAATAAATTAAAGTAATTAAACGCGATAAAATCCGTAAATAATAGTTTTATTCAATGTGTAGTGTTCGCGTAAATTTAAGAAATCATCATGCTTAACTTCTTAACAAATCTTTACTCTTTCTTTATATATTAACCGTTAATTTACAAAAGTTGTCATAGCACATGCACCTAAAGTCACGTTGTTGGTTGCAAATGGTTTTAGATACAAGTGTATGAAAGTTCTTACTAAGTTGAGCATGATTTGACATAGATTTGGCAGCTTCACTTCAAATGTATGTAGTGTTTTGTCTATTTCTCTTAGTTAGACTGAGATCATATCTATATAAATACGTTTCATTTAAAAAACCCATTTCATCATACCTTCATTTCATCCCCATGCATATCCCCCATGCATATCAATATTCAATCGTTACATACATAGCAATTAGGTATGTTCATAGAATAGTATAATACACAATAGAATGGCTGGTAACCTTATTTTGTACGAGGTTCTACGTCGCCGTGAGCACACATACAGGCAATTACGTCGTATTATCACTACTACAAACCCGATTCGCTGTTGACAGACTGAGCGAATTTATACATTTTAGACTTTTGACTGATGTTCAAGATCATCATTTAAAAGAATCGTTTAAATTTAATACACATTTATTTGTAAATAGCGTGCAATTTGGCATTTTCTAAATAATTTTCATGCGAAATTTGGAAACGGTTGCAACGTCAAAACACATCTCGTGTTGACATTTATACGTGTGAATTGACATGTTAGTGACATTTTAGTGTCTACACGGGCTCCGCCCACTCCCCCGTTCTATTATGTATGTATTATAGTATTCTATGGGTATGTTGATATAAGTGAGTTTTTATAACTGGCATGGCCTTAAGGCCACTATTAAATTTTTAAACTCTAAAAATTATGAAACATTACTCACTGCGATGTGGATGCGTCATCACGATGGCGAGAGGGCATTCGTCGTCTTCCAATATGTACTCCGAGTTATCGGCCGTATCCACCTTTTAAAAAAATAAATTCAAATTATTGCAATCACAAAGAGATGTACAGTTAAATCTTAATTGCAAATTAAATATACAAAGAAAAATACTAATACCGAGCAGCCTTGGTAGCTTAGGAGCTGAGCGCTGTATGTAAATTTCACACTTAGCGAGGAAACCCGGGTTTGATCTCCCCCGGCTCGAAAGAAATTTTTAAATGCTATTTTAATAAGAGTGTTGATTTGGCGAACAATAATATTTTGAGGAATTACCTTTGTTTTGGCTGCTTTAAAATTTTGCATACCATAATTCCTATTGTAGGTGCGCACTTAATTTCGTATTTATGAGTAAATTTAAACAACACAATAATTCTAATACCACAAAATATGCAATCGAATTTAACCTTTGGTTCAAAACATGTGCTTCTTCATCATCCAGAAAAAGTCTACGTTGGACACGGATCTCTCCCATTGTTGGGAGGGTTTGCATTAATCGCAATACAAGTGGTCTCGCACTTTTGTCGCTGCTACGCGTCGCTGGTATTTAAATCTGGTTTTAACGAAATGCAACACAATTTATCATATATAAGATATTTTTTTACCACTGGTTTGGATAAAACCTTTGTTCTGAAAAGAAGCAGCAAGAACCCCAACGGGGCTTAAAAAGCAGTTTGCAGTTATGTATTATATATTGTACAATTTATTATCAAATCCTTTTAGAGATAGCGATATAAATTATTTTATTAGGTAGAGATTATCTCTTTCTAGGTGTTTATTATAATACATGTTCTCCTTGAAAGCCGTGGTAGCTCAGAGGCTAAGCACTCGCTTTGAATTTCACAGTACGCGAGCAACCCGGGTTCGATCCCCGCTGGCACCAATGTAATTGTTTATTGCAATTTTAAGTGCTGATTTACCGCGAACTCGGCGTCGGACTCAGACCTCAGAGAGTAGAGGAGGTAAGCAGCTTGTGTCTGTCCCTAGTACTTATAATATGTATATGGATAATTTTGAAACTACTTATGTTTTTGCGTATCTACATACATTACATTTTCGTAAATATAATTTAATACATTAAGTTTCTGCAAAACAAATATAGCTTATGTGTCAATCGCGTTACCCCATAGCAAAAAAAAGATACGATAATATACTACATAGATGACTAAAATAAACAAGTCTGTTTCCACGCTAGTAAGAATTCATCCTTTTTACAGCATACGCTGCTTAACAAGTCTTCTTGTATCACGATATTAGAAAACTTGATACAAGAAGACTTAGTTTAGCACTTTGTTTTGAATATCAAATGAATTTATGGGGGATTAAATTTTTTAACTGGAAGATTACACTTGCATTTGAGAGACAATCTGGGATATTTTGCTATCCTCGTTCATCCACCTAGGCCTTGCACGGGGCGATTTGTGGATCTCGACAGCAGCGCCGCCTACAGGCCCAATTATAGCTAGGAACCACCTAGGTAACACTATAATGGGTGCGTTTGGCAGAAAAAAGCGCTAGCAAGCGATTACAAGCGCTAAAATAGTTTTCGGCCAGGACACGATTACTACTTCAGTAGCGCTGACACAATCCGCCATTTTGCTTATTTAATTTGTTTGTTTTGAAGAGTTTATAAGTTGTTTTGTGCAATATTAGTTTTAAGTAATATAATGACATGAAAAAACATATACATGTTATTAAAAATTCATGATTGGTAAGTTTTTAATATGAATACTTTACAAACATATATTTAAATTAGGCTAGGTTCCGCGGTTAAAACTAATATTGTGTCCTAGAGGAAAATAGCTACTTACCATTTGACAGCACTTACCGCTTACGGTCGCCATTTTGTTTACAAGCGCTTGCTAGCGCTTTTTTCTGCCAAACGCACCCAATTACTTGATAAAAATTAAATCACAATTCGCCGAGCTGTTTAGGAGTAGAATAATTACGAACCGTGCACGCTGAAATTTTGCATTTAAAGAGAAACCTATTTATAACATTTTAACAACGATTTGCGATCGAAACTGCAAATGCGTAATTATTTTTCGATCTAAATATACATATAGTTCACTTACCGTGTAGTGGCGGTGTAAGAATATCCACTGACGCGTATCACTACGTGGATGTCGTAAGAGGCCACACAAACAAAACAGGATAGGCAGTGAGAGTCTTCTTAATAACGACTAAAAATAAAAATAAAACTGCGGTTGCCCACCCGCTGGCGGGTGGGCAACTATGCCAAATATTCTCCCTAAGAATCAATTTATGGTGGAGGCCTATGTACAGCAGTGGACCTTAATAGCCTGTAACGGTAACTGGTACGGTTCAAAGAGATACCTGTACTATGCAGTAATGGTGCGGCTCGTGGCGGGACAGGCCGTACTTGTCGAGCATCTCGCGCACCACCGCGGCCGCCGTGTCGCCCACCGACAGCAGCAGCGTCTTGTACGGCACGTCCGGACTCAGCGACGACCCGTAGATCTTCAGCGTGCCGCCTAAACCCATCCAAAACCATCACCATCGTCATCAGGTGATAAACAATGTTCTCCTGACCGTCATCGAGCCGACAATTTCCAAATAGGTACAATTGGAAGCTATTAACTACGTCCGAAATATTATAATCCCACCGATAACTAAAATAGCACTCGTAATCTACTCGAGATATCCACTTATGTTTCTCATAAGCGATCGATGATCGAAGGCGTTCACTTATTCTTTTCTATACACACACTTACTCTTTTCTATATCCCATCTGGATATTTCAGGTCTGGCATTTTAATGATATCATAGTGTAAAAAAAACTCAAACAACACGCATTGATCATGACCTGTGATGATCCCCTATAATGTATGACAATAGTATGTCATAGGTATAAAATTATTGAATTGTCATCAGTTCCTTATGCTTCCGTAAATTTCAGATCATTCAAACTGGAAGCGGGTAAGTTATAAAATATTACATTACATTCATACATACTGAGCGGTGGTATCTCAGAGAGCCGTGGTCGCTAAGATGGTTAACGCTCGCTGTAAATATAGCAGAACACGAGTAACCCGGGTTCGATCCCCGCCGGCACCAATGAAATTGTTAATTGCAATTTTAAATGCTGATTTACCACGTGCTCGGCGGTGAAGGAAAACATCGCGAGGAAACCCGCATGTCTGAGGAATAAGAAAAAAATATTTAGAAGACATATGAATTCGCCAACACGCATTGGGGCAGCGTGGCGGACACTTCCTTGCCCTAAAACCCTCTCAGAAATGAGGGGAGGCCTGTGCCCAGCAGTGGGACGTATATAGGCTGTAACTTAATTTAACTTTATTCATACATACACAAATACAGGTCAAAATTATATAAGACATTAAAAGGTTATTTCTGATCATATGCTCATAAACTATAGGGGTTTTGTATATGAAACAGATGTATCTAACAACTTTCTCCTTTATGTAGGTACCAACTTAAAAAGGCGCAATACAACTATTTAATAGATTTAAAACTAATTATGTTCAGATAGTAAGACCAACACGCACGTACGCACATCAACGCCAAAATAGCTTCCTAGGATTTTCGGAAAACGAACTGAAAACAATAACTTCCCGCTTTTTTGAAAGTTCAAAAAATTATCAACACAAAGTTTATTATAATAAAAAGCCCCTGCACTTATTTACTTTTTATTAAATAACTCAGTAGAGAAACATCATAAACAAAATAGAGGTGTATAAATATAATGTGCATATTGTGAAAGCTGAGTAATCAAGCATTACAAACTTACACTGGAGCTATTACAAAGCATTGTTCTGAATACAAAGCAGTTTCGAACAAAAAAAATTCGGAAAAACCACGTTTTAGTTTGAGATTTTTTTATAATACATAATGCGGTGTCTCTTATTATTGAATTAAGTGACAGAGTAGTGATTACGTGACAGAGCTATATTACGGTTGTAGCACGAACGGGTCAGCTCGACCTCGGCTCGACCCCGCTCTCACAGAATACCAGTGTAAAATAGCAGCTTTAATGCTGCTATGTTTCGTATGGTGACGACCCCTTTACTGGAAGCAAGGCATTCTATCTTAGTCCTCAGGAGTGACAACGCATCTGCAGTTTGATACTTAACCGAGGATTAATGTAGATTTATATGGGCTACAGCATCCATTTACCATTAGATGGACTGTGTGCTCGTTTGTAACCCTTATCCTATTAACTAAATATTAAATACAGTAGAATCCGGATAAAGCGACCATCGAGGAACTGGCGACATGACTTCGTATTAATATGACGACTAATTAAAAGGACATATTACTTTATTAGTATTTACAATTGTGTTATGTATATAAACATTTACTATGACATCGATTACACAAGTTAAATACGCAAGCAATGAACGAATGTCTATGAAAATAAAAAAACGGCTTAAATGAAATACATAATTTTTATTTGTTTAATTGAACTCTGTAATTACTCAAACTCGGTAATAGGTATATATTATGTATAGGTAGACAACACAATACAACAAATTGCTTTTGATTGTTTTTTGTTCGTTTTTTGTTTATTGTAAGAACTAGACAAGCGAAATTGTGAAGACGAGATATAACACTTTTCATAGTGCCATTATCCTATACCTTTAAACGAGAAATTTATATATATAACCGGAATCTCGGAAACGGCTCCAACGATTTTCATAAGATTTAGTGTCCAGAGAGTTTCGGGGGCAATAAATCGATCTAGCAAGGATTTATTTTTAGAAAATGTCTTCTTTTCCGTGTTTTCAGGTAGGTAATGAAAAACTGCTACAATATAAAAAGTAAATTTTGACACTGTGTTAATGATTGTAATAGCTCAAGTGGATGTCGAGCGGTATCGAAACCGTAATGCCTTGGTTCGCGTCCTGTCTTGTGATTTTTTTTCCTTTTTTTCAAGTACCCTTCTTTTGTGAGAAAAATTATTATTTCGAGCCCTTTCTTTAGTATTTTTTAAAAATACGAAAATTTTAATTAAACTAATTGCACTCATGACTTTTTATTCAAATAACCAGTTCATTTTTTTTTCTATTATGTCAATAAGATCAAAAAATATTATTTATGTTTCATCAGTATGTAATTTGTATCTAAATGTAATTTCAAAAAAAAACCGAGCAAAGCTCGGTCATCCGGGTACTTAGAATTAGTATGCACAACACATTCAGCACTTCTGCAGCTTTCACAGGTTCGGACGTACTGGGAGTTAAAAGAAAATCTCCACAGGCTCGCCATCTATACGCTATATTTTCCTTTTGTCTTTAATTTTCACTAAACTCATTTTTGCACTTGTAATTAACGTAGCAACCTATAAAACGGTGACAAAATCAAAACACCGTTACTGATTTACGCGGGTAATCAAGCGTGCGTTGAGGAGGGGAGCGAGCAGGGGTGGTGAAAATCAAATAAAACACGCGCGTCGCTCTATCTGGACGATTTTTTAAGTAAATTACGTCGCTCAAAGCGGTTAGTTGGCTCAAACTGGAGTTGTACTAACGGATATATTTATTCAAGGAATTTGTATGAAAAACTAACTTGATTTTCAATCTGCGTCGCATAAAACGGTTGATCGATATGGACGAAGCTGTACAAAACGAATTCTACTGTATTAAAAAAGTGGATTATACAAAATTCTTGTCCTAAAGTAAATCGCATCTTCAACCGCGTGCGGTGCGCTCTATATTTGACGACAGAGACCATCTTATCAAAAGAAAAATGGCAAACACAAACCCCACAGTCGCGAGATGGGAAGCAACATTACAAGTACGAGTCACGTTTTGCTATTGCTTTGAGCATGGGCAACACTATTAGGTAATACACATGCTTGATGGCGCACTCTTGAAAACTTTACGTCCTTTATAAAGTAAGCTTTCTCGTTGTATTTACAAAGTGAAAATTTTAATTTCAATTTAAAATTATATTTACCATATAAATACAATATACTCTGGAATAGTAAAGTGATATATCTAATATATAAAAATTAATGTTTGTTTGTTCGTATTTTTCACTTATTTGCAGTAAAACTTTGTAAACTTATTTCTTGCACTTGCGGGAAGGTTATAGGCATAGCACAATTAACTTACATATTTATTTGAAAGTTATATAGGTCTATCAACTTCAATTAATATAATTCCTAATTAAAAATACAACTCTTCCAAATTCAAAACTATGTTTCCACTATCATTTCTTCCGTGGCGGCAACGCGCCCGGTACCACCTAAATTATTATAATTTATTCAATAAGAAGATTTTATTAGTATGTAAGAAAATATTACAAGCAAGGAGTCTAAATTGGTGCCCTCATAATATCATTAAAACGGTAATTGTTTCACTGATGTAACAATAAATAGACGCTTTCGGAATACCTATTATCTTTTCGATAATACATTGGATATTTTATCTTCAGTTTTTTCGATGTCGTCAAATATAGGTAGGTATAACGATAAATTATTCTATACAAATATTTTATATACTACCCTGAGGTTAAAGAATGGGATTGAAAATGGCGTCGCTTCTAACCACTTCTCGCTCCTGCCGCGTATTTCGGTACGTTCCATATCTTCAGTCCAACTTGTCATTGGAATCAATAATAACAAATTCCATAAACTACGAAAAAAATTAAGTCTGCTTTACTTATTTGTGAGTCACGACTCGTTCTGAAAGCTGTCTTTGTACTTGTTGTTGATCTTGTTTGTCAATGTCAAGTAATACCAATATAGACATTCTATTAATTTAGAATTTTATACGAAAATTTCAGAGATTTTATTGAAATAGAAATATTAATAAGATAAAATAAATGGTTTTTGACAATTATCTTTAGCCTGTATAACACCACATGAATAAATCCAACCCAAGAGAAGCCAGAGCAGGTCGCTAGTAATATAGGTTATTTTAAAATCAGTATACCAACTTATGTTTACAATTATTAATAATTGACGGTACGGGCTTGATGAGCCGCCATTTCTAATTCCATTCTTTATATATAATTTTGCATATAAAATGCATTACTGACTTGTGACTTATAGTAATATTATTGTTTTTTATAACGAATATTATAACGAATAAGTAGAATATATTCAAAATTCATGGGTAATTCGTAATATTAAGTTATTTGTTACAAGTTTTGTTTAAAGATTATTACGCCATCTATGATGGAAGGTGTAATATACTTTGACTTATCTTGTGCCTGAGATGCTACAAAAATCGACTAAGTCTACTCCGCACATTCAGAATTCAAACTTTAACAATCTGTATAAAACGATCGTATCAAATAAGTTAATCGTAATTATAAAGGAAAAGCAATTTATACCAGTATCGGGGCCACCGTCTTTAGAGCGAAACTGCTGCAGCTTGCGCTCGAGCTTCTGCTGGCGTCTCCTTCGCATCACCGCCTCCGGGTTGCTGATGCTGCGCGTGAACGACGTCTCGGGTAATTCTAGTAAAAAATGCATAAAATAAAGTGAACAACCATTTCATTTCTTAACATATGTCTATTACATGAGAAATAAATGTAAGCAACTCATATATTCAAATAAATAAGGGGTTATTCAAGATCTAGTGCATCTTGAATAACCCCCTATTTATTAGAATACTAAGCAAATGCTTAGCTATGTATTAGCTAAGCATTTGCTTAGCTATTAGTATCCAAATGGATACGGCACTGTTGAAGCTGGTTTGTATCCAGATGGTACAAGTATCACTATGGCTAATCAAATGTGTTGGCTCTGGGTGTTTGTCCTTGCACTTTATGTATGTAAAACTAGAAGTTATAACCAGGAGAAATTTCTAATGAAGGTTGTTCTTTAAAAATATAATAATTGACGATGTAATAATTAAGACATGATGAACAGTGGGGAAGCTAGGGCTCCAAACTAGGGCAAGCCCAAGATATGGTTTTGTTGTTTTTAGCAGTTTAATAAAAATACACCAATCTTGAGCTGTCTCCACTCTTTAGTTTCATATTAAGTGGTGTCAAGGACGTGTTTAACAAAGCACACAGAAAGCATACTACCGCTAGATAGATTGTATCATATATGCAATTGCACACCTTCGGTGGTTTTGAAAACAGCCGTTTGGGTTTGCTTGAGATATTTACAAACATTACAATACATGAACAAAAGAAAAGCATGAACAAAGTACAAACAAACTATGTACAAAGTTAAAAAAAGGGACGCCTGACAGATGTTAAACCTCGAAATTATTTTGTTTAAGTTATATTCATAAAAGAACAGATTACGACAGGAATTAGATAGTTATAATGAGAAGATAAAGCTTTGCTAATTCTTTACCATAAAGTAATGACTATTTATTATATAATTATTCATTTTCAATTTATAATAAACCGTACAAAATGATATTCAATTCATAATAAACCGTACAAAATGACATTTTTAAACTCATATGGTAATATAAATATTAAATTAGTCAAATTCCTATAAAAAAAAATTAAAATAGACCAAATTCGAAGAATAAAACAGAAACATAACAAAATGACGTAGCTTGCAAGGCAATAACGAGAAAAAGAACTTAATTTGTTACATGTTAAGGTTGATTTCACACCAAAGGTTATTTAATTTATGTCTTTTCCTTTCCAAGTAATAGGAGTATTGTACAGCTTTGTTCTTTTTTTGTGACTAATGATCGTAAGATTTGTGACTTTATTACTAGACTAGACGCGATGGTTGTACTCGTAATTAGGTTGAGCTTAAAACTATTTTAATTTTCTTGTCTCATTTATTTAGTAAACAAATGTAGCTGTTTAAGTTTATATCCACGCGGACAGTATTTAGCTATGATTTTGTACGTTATCTAGTTGGTATATTGTTGATCGAAGTATAGAGGCTTCGCCACTGATGATGAACACTCTTAATAAGACAACTAGAATCGTGTGATTAATTAGTAAACTTTTGAAGGCGTACATAGTAACAATGTTATTCCAAGTGAAAAGTGTGGTTGCTATGTGGACATAATTGTGCTAATTTCTTGGTAAGGTAAAGAACAGATACACAACTATTAGAAATATCTGTAGCGTATTGAATGCATTAGCTGAATATTGTTAACAAGAGAATACGCATCACTGCTTACATTAGCGCTAATTATAATACAAGTAAATCGGCCATTCTTATATCATAGCTTTTTTATATAAATAAGGGTGACATACAAGCACATTGTCCACTTGTGATTGTAAGTAGTGCACATGGAAACCTTTTTATTAGTTAAAAGTATCGCATTCTCATAGATATATTACGTATTGTGAGAGGCTTATTGGTCGAGCCGGCATATTCATGCTGCGACCATAATAAACCTGTAGCATGGCTCTATCAAATAAAAATTTACCTAACGATTTTTTTCTATATCTATATAAAAGTTAGGCGTTGTTAGGCGGTCAATATCACACTAGACGGGAGAGATCCCGAGGTTTAAATCCGAATAAGGGCCAGAAAATGTGCAGTTATAAATTGCACAGAGTATTAGGTTGTGTCCCTGACACTGCAATCGAATCTGTCTACGAAAGTATTGCTGATATTCCAGCGACGTGAAAGTTACAATATAAACACACACTAATAATAATAATAATAATAATAATGTCCTCCAGACCGAATTTCGGCCACGGCGGCCTGCCTCGGCGGAGGCTAGCCATCGGCGCAGGGCAGGATTATAGTGCCCAAGTGTATGCGCAAGCACAGGTGCACTCTCTATTCCCTCACTCTCATAATCCGATGGAACGGTAAACCGACACGAGCGGAGAGAGATCAGGCGCAGGACCAACGGCTTTACGTGCTTTCCGAGGCACGGGGGTGAGACACCGCCAACTTCCTGACTCCGGGCAGAGCTACTGAGAATTTCTTGACGGAAAAACTCAATAATTAATTTTTTGGCCCGACCCGGGATTCGAACCCAGGACCTCATGATCAGCAGTCGCAATACTACAACCATTAGACCAACGAGGCAGTCACACACTAACACATACTTAAACATTTCAATTTTTCATATACAAAATTTTGTCATAAAATATTTCATGTAATTTTTCAGGAAAATAAGATACATTTTTAAGACATTGGTGAACTTTATATCAATATTTATTTAGTGCATCATAGTTGATTTAAAGGTCAAACTTGATAATACATGTAATACTTGTCTTTAACGTTTTCTATTTACTATTAAAGGTATATTACAATTTAACCCTTTCACTATCCTATGTACTACATAATACATATAGTTCTTCATTGCTATTGTCTTAATATTGTGTCTGAAAATGGGACAGTGAAAGTGTTAAAATTTTCCCTTGCCGTGTACCTAAACAATAACGGTGAGATAATATGTAGTCTATAATAATCTTGACAATGATAAAATTTTAAAATAAACCTGTGTAAAGTTTCTCAGCGATAGGTCTATTTTCATCATTAGTGTCGGACTTCAGTCTGGATAGTTTTTCTTTCTTCTTTAATTCCTTTTTCTCTCGTTTCGATAGTTTCCTTTTAAAGTTCTGATCCGCTTTTTCGACGTCGGAAGACAAAGGGACCTGCGACATATAGGAAATAGATATAAGTTTGTAAAGGCTTCAATAAGTTTTGTCCAATTTTAGTCAAAGCTACTAATTATGATGGACAATATTTTAAATCTCAATTTTAAGTGCTGAATTATAACGTATTGGGGTTTAAAGACAAAATCTTTAGAAAATACGAATGCCTGAAGAATTTAGAGTATAAAAATAATTTTTTGAGAATCACTGTCTTTTAAAAAACAGTAGCTTAATACTGCTGTGTTTCTTATGGCGAGTGTAGAGAACCGGAGATCCTTTTTACTGGAAACGAGACATTTAATTGTAGTGCTCAGGGGTGACAAAGCATCTGCATTTTGATGCCACAGCATGCACTTATCATCAGGTGGACTGTGAGCACGTTTATCACCCCATTCTATAAAAAAATGGGAAAATCTCTAAATACGCATTATGGTAGCTTTACAGAGTTTTTCCTGGCCCTAAAACCCCTTTAAGGTCTAAAGTATGAGAGACCTTTGCTTAGCAACAGAGCGTAACCGCCCATCGACGGTTCTTTTCTCACAACTGTAACTGACCATAGTTACAGTTGTGCAAAATGAATCGTCGATTTTCACTTTTGCGAGTTCATTTTTCGCTGATAATTTCGAAAATTGATCGGATGATGTTGCACTCGTTATAAGTAAACTAGAAAAGCAATTCCTTGTTAAGTAAGCTCAAGCCAATATGAAAAAAAGTCTTTTAGCAAATGCAAAGAACAGTAAAGAAATTTGGTCTGCAATCAAAGCCATCTTCAGACGTGATACTAAATATAATTACGCTGAAAATATGATTAGCTAAAATCCTACATACTCAATGGAGAGAGCTAATTACTATTTTTCAACCTTAGGTAGAAATTTAGCTGATAAAATTCTAGCAAACGGTGCTAAACCTGCTAATGCTAATACTATGCCCTGGTCGCTTAATTCATTTGTGCTCGATTCTCTTGACGAGGTAGATGTTGAAATAATATTTATGGGTCTTAGAAATGATTGTGCTATTGGTTGGAATTACATCCCTGCTGTCTTCCTTAAAATCGCCAATGATAAAATACTTCTGCCACTAACAATCCTTTTTAAAATTTGTTTTGAACAAGGATGCTTTCCAAAAGTTTTTAAGAGATCTCTCATTACTCCCGTTTACATTTATGGGACTCGGGACCTTGTTGAGAACTACAGGCCGATCTCTGCGCTACCTGCTCTTTCAAAAATCTTAGAAAGGATGCTTAATAATCAATTGGTTAAATTTCTAAACAAATATAATATCTTATCTAATATGCAGTTCGGATTCAGAGCAGGTGTTAGTATAAAAGATGCTGTTCGTAGCTTGACTGAATTTGTAACAAATAAACTGGATCAAAAACAGAAGTGTGTAGGGATTTTCGTTGATTTAGGCAGGGCTTTTGACACTTTTTCGATACCCATTCTTGTAAACAAACAAGAAAAAAATGGAATAAGAGATTCTGCCCTTTCCATTTTTAAGGATTTTCTATGTAACCATGTGCAGAGAGTAGAAATAAAAAAAATTATTAGCTCAGACGCCTGTGTCACGTACGGAGTCCCTCAGGGCAGTATCCTAGGATAAAGTTTTTTTTTTAGTTTACATTAACGACCTGTGCTCAATGACATTAACTCAAGGCAAGCTATTTACTTATGCTGATAATACAGCCTTAATTTTCTACCGAGAGACTTAGCCTGAGGTCCAGGAGTTTGCAATGAAGGGCCTTCAAACTGTGGCAAATTGGCTTGAGGAGAATCTACTGACTCTTAATATATCCAAGTCGACCTATATGCAGTTCCATATAATAAACGCCCAAACTGTTAACGATATACAACTAACAGTACACTCTTGTGATTTACAATCGACAGATACTTGCGTTTGCCCTAAAATGACGAAATCCAAATCAATTAAATATCTAGAAGTAATTATAGAAGAGAAACTAAGCTGGATCCCACACATAGACCTTATTTCATCGCGCACTCGGATACTCATTTGGACATTTAAAAGGCTAAGGCACGCCTTGCCAAAATCCTTGGCTTACGCCTTGGCAAAATCAATTATAGGATATTGTATAAATACCTGGGGAGGAGCATGTAAAACATTTATGATTAAATTAGAAAGAGCTCAAAGATGTCTCCTAAAAACCATGACTTTCAAACCGTACAGGTATCCTACAAATCTGCTTTACCAAGAATGGAAACTGACTATCAGGCAATTAGACATCCAACAATTGATCTTAATGAAACATGCTCTACCTCTAGCTCATGATCCTGAGATCTGTCGTAATAAACGCAGAATACCGGATGTACTGATTATTGACAGATGTCGAACTGCTTTTTCTAGACAAAAAGTTCATATCTATCCTCAGTACTTTATAATATTAAGCGAAATAGAAATCTAAATTTTTATCCTCTTTCCAGACATGAGTGTCAAGTTAAAGTTCGAGATTGGTTATTGACACTTGATTATAGTAAAACAGAAAATATCCTGATACAATTTATAAACATGTGTGTAAGTAATGTATGTCATACAAAATTATAAAGAGCATTCTTTGTTTAAAACAATTATTTATTAATTATAGGTTATAATGGATAATATATATATATATATTACAAATTGCAATTTACAAACTAATTTCAAAATACCTACGATTATATAAAATATAAATTACTTTAGTCGCATTAAGATATACATAGTCTATGTTTAGTTGTAAATAAATCCATTTAGCTATAGTTACTTAAAAATGTTAAGCTTAGTTACTTAATTCATTATTAAGATTAAAATACTGTTGTCACAACACTGGGAGGGGCCACTGTTCCCAAGATACAGACTCGTCCAGTTTGGGGATCAGAATCTTCACTTTATTATTGTACTTATATTTAAATAAAAAGATTATTATTGTTTTGTATTGTTTTTTTCTTTCTCAAGATTTTGCACCGGGCCTAAGCCAGGTGCGCATCCATTTGCAAATCAAAATTTAAGGTGTCTTCTTGCAAAAATTTTCAGACTATACGGCACATGTTGAGGATGGCTGCTTTTTGCATGGTAATATAACTATTTTTAGAAAGATCTAATTGTTTAAGGGAGTGGGACAAACATTTTGGGATCACACCAGTATTGGAGAGCACCAGCGGCACAATATATACTTTGTTCATTTTCCAGACTCTAGTTACTTTTCTTTTAGTTCCGTGTATTTATGATATTTTTAGTAATGGTTTTCTGTAGATTATGGGTATTTGGGATCGCTATATCAATTAGGTATACTGCTTTAATTAATTTTTCGATTTAAGTTATATCCGGTCTATCGTAATATTACTTTACATAAGAATAGCTCTCTTTAATATTTTTCGATTTAAGTTATATCCGGTCTATCGTAATGATTACTTTTATCAGTAAGAATAGCTCTATCAAATTACTTTTTATTATTATTACTAGCTGGCCAAGCAGACGTTGTTCTGCCCTATCCGACGACCCTTTGTCATGGAAAAAATCATTAAATTCGTAATAAAATATATCGAAGGTCACTTATTGGGATGAAAACTATCCTATCTCTCAAGTTTGACCAAACTGCACACAGTGTGCAAAATAATATTAAAATCAGTTCAGTAGTTTAGGAGTTTATCGCGGACAAACAACGTGACACGTAATCTTAATATATATAAATTACGTGTCACGTTGTTTGTCCGCGATGAACTCCTAAACTACTTGACCGATTTTATTCAAATTTGCACATCGTGTGTAGTTTGGGCCAACTTGAGAGATAGGATAGTTTTTTTGCCCATGAGTGACCCACAATTTTTTTTTTGCGGATTTAAGGATTTTTAATAGGATCGTCGTACAAAGGGTCGTCGAAAAGGGCAGAAAAACGTCTGCCCAGCAAGCTAGTTTTTATATATAAAGATTATTATAACATTTTCCCCACTTAAACAAAAATAATAAAACATTGAAGCACGAACCTCGTTGTTGGTGAGGCACTTGAGCAAGAAGCGCCCCTCGCGATCGTCGGTGTGCCAATTGAGTTGCACGAGCAGCGGCTTCTCGTGCGGCTCGAGACGTCGCTCGTAGTCGGGCCCGTGCGTTTCCCACAGAGAATAAGAGCCCAGCGATAACATGCGCATGTCTGGACGGAACTTCTCGATCAGCGTCTCTGTTCGCAAAATTGTATTATTAATTATTGTTTTAGTTCAAATATAGGCACCCTGCAAAAAATATTTCCATTTTTATATTTTGCGCCATAATAAAGGGTAAGCAAAATAGTTTAATAATTAGGGATGTAACGACACCGATACCGATACCGCTATATCGGCCGAAATTATCAGCAGACCGATATACTGGCATCGTCGATTATATACAACCGATATCAAGAGTTTGAAAAGCGTGCGAAACAGACAACGCGCGCGCGAAGTTCTTGCTCAGCTCAGTTGCCTCAGAGTGTCTGTTTTCAACTGCAGATCTCTGTCAAAATGATTTGCGTAATTGATTATCTGCTAATAATTTAAACAAGCTTTGGTTGTAAAAATCTACTAAAAGTTAACTTTCATTACTGAGTTTATCTTTTTTATCGGTTTACTTTACCACTTTGTGTAATGAAAATTGTTTTCTTAATAGCGCTTTGATTGCTTGATAATATTCTTGACTATTTCATATAAATAAATGTTTTCTTTGAATTAAGAATTTTTGATTTGACATTTTGGTTTTCAACCTTCTCAAGGTCGGTCATAAAGAAAAGTTTTCGTTATTTGTTTTTTTTTCATTATATTGTTACTAAGTCACCGATAAAGGTATCGCGGTATCGGAATCGCCGATTATTTACTACAATAATCGGTATCGGTAGCGTATCGGCACAATTATGTATCGTTACATCCCTATTATTAATATTTATTTTTGTCACTACAAAAATCTCAATTTTAACATTACACAAGCACTTTCATATTAAAAATTTCCAAAAAACAAAGGTCTTCTAATTGAAAGTTGATCCATGATCTAGCGACTGACGCAGTTTATAATAAAAAATAACTAGGCTTTTTTTGTACACTTTTTACTAGAAATGAACTCAAGTTTTATGTAGTATATTAAACATGTAGTTTAAAATGATTATCAAAGCGAAACATACAGTAATCGATTTTATTGCATGTAATTCTGGTGATTATAATATAATACTCGCATATTTAACTCGTGGATCCTTAACCACTTCAATAAATTAAATTCATCAAAAATATCAGCGATTGATATTTCAACATCAACAATCGACAAATTATATACATCAACAATTACAGCCGTCATAAATACGAATTTATCACGCTACATAAGAAAAAAAGATTTATCAAACATTCAGTCGAATTTACGTAAATATTTCATTGAATTGTAACAAAACAGCATCAGTATAATAACAATACAAACAAATGCAAGCGATGTAAAAGATGTTAGTAATAACGATCAGCTTCATTAATAGGAAATACTCGGAATATCGCTATTGCATATACCTCACATACCACACATGATATATAACAATATAGAAAGTCACCATATTAATCGATATTACATTGGTCATGGGAAGAACATGCACATAATATATATGTCAATTAGATCAGGAGGAATGAGCGCATGAGTATCGAAAACTATTACACCTCAATTTTTTTATGCGATTCTCCTCAAATTGTCCTACAGATGTAGGTAATAAATGCCATGGGGCAACTCGGTACCATATATTTTAAAACGAAGTTGTTTAAAGAATTGCAATTTTTTTTTCAAACGCGACTTTTTTTAATACACTTTGATGAAATACGAATAAAAATATTTAAAAAAAAAACTTTATACTTTATTCTTTTTCTTTATATATTTTAAATGAATCAAAAGTATCCGAATTACGATTTTTACAAAATTTTAAATCTTCAAACTCCGAAAATATTAATTTTATCGTAATAAGTAATATGACCTTTTTTATTCGTATTTCATTAAAGAATATTTAAAAAAAAGTCCGGTTTGAAAATAGCATTTCCTTGCAATTGTTTAAACAACTTCGGTTTAAAAAAATATAGCACCGAGTTGCCCCATGGCAACATGCACTTATTGCACCTTCGCATAAAAAATTGAGGTGGAATAGTTTTCGGTCATTCGCCGATCCCTCCTGGACTAATTTGTCAGAACAAAATTCATACCTATAACGTCGCTGACTGTAGCATCGGAGGCGACGCGGATGCATTTCGTCGCGATCTTTTGGCCTGAGTCTTGGAAGTAGAACCGCATCACCCCATGGAACTCTAAGTTCTGTAACGAAGTTATTATCTGTTACTAGATGAAAAAAAGTGGATAGAAAATTCATCCATCCACTACAGCCATAAAAGTGTATAGAAGATTCATCCATCCACTACAGCCTATAAAATGTATAGAAGATTCATCCATCCACTACAGCCTATAAAAGTGTATAGAAGATTCATCCATCCACTACAGCCTATAAAAGTGTATAGAAGATACAACCATCCACTACAGCCTATAAAAGATCACTGGTGAACATAGGTCTCACCAATAGATTGCCCCATAGGGGGGATTTTGCCATAGTTGCCAGCCTTGGCAAATGAGTTGGCAACGGTAATTTCTTTAAAAATTTTGAGTTATTATCAGCAAGATGCCGCTGCCTATCTTCTGTTTAAGTTTCCCCTCTCTCGCCTCTTACGAGACCCACGAGACGTCACGTGACAGTGGATATTCCTACACCGCCACTACACGGTAATTAAAGATTACAGACAGCAAGCGTAATATAGCTCGTATATCATATGGTAATCTACAACTAAAAATAGTAAATTACATGCGCTTCCTGTTGACTTTCGTAATCATTTTCTGTGGCTTCATGATAATAAAATTTCATGCAATATCCATTTACATTGATCTTACTATAAATTTCTTCATGTTTCGACTAAACAATCCATAGCACGTCTCGATAAAAGTTGAGAGAATTTGCCGCATAACCATAGCGCTTAACGTGCATTTTGGCGATGGCAGTGTCCTAGACTTCGCACCTTTGACAGGACTCCGCGTCGATGGTTACGTTTGGGATACCTATGCGATGGTTATAGCCCTACTTCCGCTATAAATTAGATACCATGACAAATTGTTAGTATTTCCTTGGGTCGACTCTTGCAACATCTGAGGAATGGTTATGTTTACTAACTAAAAACTAGATAAACTAAATGAATACACAAGTTTAGGAAATATAATTACGTATAAGCAATTAGAGAGGTAAGGCTCGCACAGGAACACCATATTCTTAGTAAATTCTTAGTAAAAAATAAAGCAGAATATGTATTCATGCCTTTGAGATAAATTGTATTTCGAGAACCTTGCGTTGTAAACCATTTTGGCAGCTCACAATTTGGTATATTTTCCACCATTTAGAAAAAGTGACTCGGAATTGAAATTTTACAAGGTGTTAATTGGTTTAAATGGACTACAATTACTATTGTAATGTAAAATAATAACAATCCACCGACCTGCTCCAGTGCATGTAGAACAGACTCCTTCTCCAAGAGTCCTCAAAATATTTTATTAATCATACATGCAGATTTAAATATTTTGAGAACACGTAGTAAATCAGCACTTAAAATTGTGCTGACTACTCTACTGGTGGGTTGATGGCGTATTGTGAAATTAAAGGCGTGGTAAATGGTTTTCAGGCGCCATTTAATTGTTCCAGCGCTGATTTTACGAATAAGGATACTAGGGATGTAACGATTCCGATACCGATATAATCGGCATCGCCGATTATATATTAACCGATATCAAATGTTTGAGAAGCGCGCGAAACGAACAATGTGCGCGCGACATTCTTGCGTATGGCAGTTGCCTAAGTGTCTGTTTTCAACTGTAAGTCTATTTCAAAATGATTTGCGTAACAGATTATCTGCTAATAATTCAAACAAAATTTGTTTTCTTCTACCAAATGTTTACTGTAATTACTGACTTTATCTTTTATATCGGTTTACTTTACCACTTTTTGTAATGAAAATTACTTTCTTAAATTATTTGCTTTGATTGCTTGAGAATATTCTAGATTAATTCATATAAATAAATTATTTCTTTCAAATTTGAATTTTTGTATTGAAATTTTGATTTGACATTTAATTTTTCGAACTTCTCAAAATTCAGTCTCTGATAAATATAGGTAACTTTTATGCATAATAAATAAAATTGTTCATTATTTATTTGTTTTTTTTTTCTATTTCTACTCAGTCACCGATAAAGGTATCTGTATCGCCGATTATTTACTACAATAATCGGTATCGGTATCGTATCGGCAAAATCGTGTATCGTTACATCCCTAAAGGATACATAACCTAACATAAGGGTGATAACTGACAACACACAGTCCACCTGATAGTAAGTGGATACTGTGGCCTAATAGACATCTACATTTTATACTATTTAAAATGCAGATGCGTTGTCACCCTTGAGGACTAGGATGGAATGTAAGTAGTATGGAAATAAACAAGGGGGAGAGGGGCCTGAGACCCTCTCGATACGTTCCAAATATTATATACCCTGAATAAATAAAAAGGTTTAAATTAGGCTTAGGAATTGCTTCTGAACTAAGTTTTTCAGACGATCAATAAAGCGACACTTCAAAGTAAGACTAGATATTAAACTCATAGTATTTGAAAAAACCTCTTCGTAGAAAAGAATACTGGAGTATAATCAATACATTTAATGCCCACACCTAACTTACACCTTTAACTTTCCTGTTATCAGTTGTGCCTACACACAGAAATATTTATCTAAAGCGCATTCTTTAAGAGATAACGATCGTTCACAAAGCATTATAGAGCAACATGAAACAAACTGTTCAGAAAGAATAGACCTTACAACTGACGGGGAATAAACTTAAGCTGAATAATTAAACTTTAAAAAAAAGTTAAAACGGGGATTTCATTTTTCGATACACAGTTTTTCTTGTCGGTGAATAAGTCTTATCTTACCACCGACTAGAACTTAATAATATTATAAACTTAAGGAAACAACTAGTACGAGTATGTCGTCTGAATATTTTAAATTTCATCCCTTATTATTCCAGTAAGGGTGGAATTTTGTTCTTCAAATATAAATGGGACCACCCTTGTTGCCTATTTGTAGCCTATTAAATTATTTTTATTTTTTACTAAATTGACTTAATATCGGTTCATTGAGAAAGTTAACACGTAACATACATACACATACTCGTACTCGCACATACATAAAAATACAGTTGAATTGGTAACTTTGTTCTTTTCGCTAAAAAGGTTGTAATGTGAAACTGCGGTACCAATATTTTTATTTGTTATGCAACAACGTTAAATACGAGCAAGGGTTCTTGGAGTAAGAGTTTAATCGCACGCGGAAAATGTGTAATGCTCTTTGTTTATGTAAATATACAGCATTATGGACTGAAACAAAAGTAACAGAACAAATATTCTTATGTATTTTAGATGTGTACGATGTTAATATATCAAATTATATTAAAAAGTTAATAAAACATTAGCGTGTTGCTTACTTACTGTTACCTTACGTTTCAAGTTTGTGTTTTCAGCCGTGCTCATCGAAAACAACAAATAACTACTGAAAGTAGACATCTAAAATAGCCTACATTTTTAAGTAATTTTAAGGTTACTTGGCGAAATTGATCTTGATTCTGATTGTATGGAGCCTGCTCTCCCGATTCCCAAAAAGGTGTAGCCTAGTGTGATCGCGGCCTAACAGGCTTTAACATCAGCTTAGAATTTTTTTGGTTAAGCCTCCTAAATCTTACGTATAATATTAATAAAACGACGACAGCTATTTGACAATAACAGAATTTCAATCAAGAGTTATTAATTATTATAGTATATAGAGACATAAACTTAAATTACAGATTCTTTTACAAAAAGGTAAGTACATACTTTTATTTAATAAAACTAATCTATCTTTATAAATTAATTAAAAAATCTAGAATTTTAGCTTTGAAAAAGTACGGTTACATCAAGCAGTCGGTCATCCAATGCTGTATAATAACATGTAATGTACCTCCAAACACAGAGGTGACAATACATCAGCAGACTTTTTAGGCTTGCAGGTTTAGACTTTTTTCTGCTATTAACTTTGTAAAAAAAACATTGAGCAGGTACTTAAAATTGAATTAAGACTAAGATGAGTGCCCTGCCCTTCAATACCACCATTATTCCCATTTAAGTTTAATTACCGTATAGAAATAAACGTATAGAAACTTCTTGGATAAGTTTCAATGTAAGTAAAACTTGCCTCGTTGGGCTCGCTGAGTTCGAAGAGGTCGAGTCGATTAGCGTTCCACTGCTGGATCATGTTGCGCAGCACCTCGCGCTCCAGCATGCGCTTGTCGCGGTCCGCCTCCATACTGTCACCTCATCAAGTCTGCAGCCTGAAATATGTACAATATACTTTAAAAATAAAGAAAACTGCTTGCATCATGTTAGTTACGTCATGACGGTAAATATTTAAGAGAATTCATAGTTTATTTCACCAAGGCAATAATGAGTTAATGCAATCAGTGACACCGTGTTTTATTTATATAAGATAAATTATAAACCAATGCCGCTAGTGTTCTACTTTGTGTTTTACTACGAAAGGGTATATAAAGCTTCAACTTCACTCAAGTGAAGCCATGAACAAATCCACTTATACCGTAAAGGTAAGAAAACCTATGCAAGTAATGTATTATCAAAGAAATTTAAGTAGTAGATATATATTTAAATCCCTTTGTGTATTATTGTATATGAAGATTTTAAATACAATATTAATAATATTTACATATATTATAATTATATAGTGTTCATAATATCGATATTTAATATAATATGATCACACATTGTGCATGATGAAGTGAGTTAACAAGAACTAAAGAAAGTAACAGGTAACCAAGAACGAGGACCACCCCCCCTCTCATCGAAACCGTGCTAGCGGTAGTTCAGGGGCTCCTCGTAAATTTCACAGTTTGTGAGCTATTAATTGCGTTTTCAAGTGCCGATTTACTACGTGCTCGGTGATGAAGGAAGACATCGTGAGGAAACCGGCATGTCTTAGAAATTGAAATATTTTGAAAACCGCAAACACGCAATGGAGAAACAGCACGGTGGATAATTCCTTGCCTTAAAACCTCTCAGAAGTAGGAGACCTGAGGCTGATTATATACGTCCTGTACCTGGGAACGTATATAATAGTCGGGAGCCTTTTTTTTCTTTTTTTTATAGAATAAGGGTGACAAACGAGGACATTTATCATCGATTAGGAATCAAAACGCAGATGCGTTGTCACCCCTGATGACTAATATGGAATGCCTCGTTTCCAGTAAAAAAGGGTCTCCGGATCTCTACACACACCATACGAAACACAGCAGTATTAAGCTGCTATTTCACGCTGGTATTCTGTGAGAGCGTGGTCCTTCCCCGGTCGAGCCGACCCATTCATGCTACAACCATAATATAGCTGCAGCGTGGCTCTACCACGTGTAAAACCTTAAACAAGAACATAAAGACAACTTTTCTAAAACGTTAATTCTTTAGGCAACATAGTGCCTGAAGACGAGTTTTATACTATACCAAATAGGTACTGAGCATGCATGTCACTTAAAAACACGGATACGAATTGTATGAAATTGTCGTTTTATATGGAATAATTAAATTATTTTTGTACAAAAAACCTTTTTTATTACTTACTATTAGCTATTAACACATCTTGCCATTTTTATGGGCAGTTTGTTAATATGCCATTGGTATAGAAGTCTGCCGTACGAGAATCGATTAATTTTTTAAATACGTTCTTTACTGCTTCTGCAGAATAGATACGTTTGACTATTAAAGTTATCTAAACTTTGAAAGAAGTGGAAATCTATTGACATCCAGTCTGGTTAACACATATGGTAGATAAATGAGAGTCTGACTTACTAGTACATTTAAAACAACGGGCATAGTATAATTATAAATTATCGTGTTAAAAACTACCAAAACTAATGGTGGATATAAAAGTCCAAATTATTATGTCAAAATTATACACCGAAAATGTGGGAGAGACAAACTTTATATATATATATTGAGATTACTTAACTTTATATATCTATATATATAATACTAGCTTACCAGGCAGACGTTGTTCTGCCCTTTTCGACGACCTTTTGTCATGTCCTATTAAAAATACTTAAATTCGCAAAAAAAATAATAATAATTGTGGGCAAGTCATGGGCAAGAAAACTATCCTATCTCTCAAGTTGGACGAAACTGTACACGGTGTGCAAATTTGATTAAAATCGCTTAAGTAGTTTAGGAGTCCATCGCGCACAAACAACGTACCACGTAATTTATATATATTAAGATGAAGATAATCCATACGAATAAAGAAATTTGTAGTGTTAATAAAGACATTAAGGAGATATCTTGAAACGAAAGTTAAGTGGGTACCTTTTTTCTTAGAATAAGGGTGTCATGCGAACAAGCATTCCACCTGATGTTACGTTAATGCTGTGACCCATAGACATCTACATCTTCAAACCCCCTTCGTCGTATCTCCTCAGTTTGAAGGCACTCCCGTTTTTGTCTATGCCAGTATCGGAATCCTCGGCGTCGACATATCGAGTGACCTGCAGTTTCGTGGTCACTTGGAAGAGAAGGCCAAATTGGCCTCTAAAAAGCTTGGCGTGCTCAGCAGAGTGGGACAGTATTTCATACCAGCTCACCGCCTGCAACTTTACAAGGCGCAGGTTCAGCCGCACATGGAATATTGTTCCCATCTCTGGGCCGGGGCTCCCCAGTGCCAGCTTCTTCCATTTTATCGCATCCAGCGCAGAGCTGTTCGAATCTTCGGCGACCGAGCTCTTTCCGATCGGCTTGACTCTCTGGCACTGCGAAGAGGTGTTGCATCTCTTTGCGTATTTTATCGCATCTACCACGGGGAGTGCTATGAGGAATTGTTGTTACCACCACCGTGCGATTTAAAAGAAGTTTTATTCCTCGCGCAACTTCCTTGTGGAATCAACTACCACCAGAGATTTTTCCGGACCGATACGACTTAGGGACCTTCAAGAAAAGAGCCTACTCCTTTTTAAAAGGCCGGCAACGCATCTGCAATTCCCCCCCGTGTTCCAGTTGTTCATGGGCGGCGGTAATGACTTACCATCAGGTGAACCGTATGCTTGTTTACTCCCCTCTATAAAAAAATTAAATAAAAATGCAGATGCATTGTCACCTTCTGAGGTCTAAAATTAAATGCATTGTTTTCATTAAAAGGGTTTTCCGGTTCTCTACACTCACCTTACAAAACACAGCAGCCTTAAACTGCTATCTTACGCTGGTATTCTGTAAAAGTGTGGTCCTTCCCCGGTCGAGCCGACCCATTCGTGTTTCATTTCGACAGGTAATGTGCATAGCGTTCTACATGCGTTGGGCATCCAAAACGCTGACCGCTCTGCAGAAACAAAAATACTGAATATTTCGCGAGGTTTAATGGAGATGTTGCAACAAGATCCTGATCGTTTTTGGCTCGATTTATAACAATAGACGAAACGTAACCTCACCATTACTATTCCGAAACAAAATTACAGTCTACAAGTTGGAAAAAAATACATCATATACTGTTGCGGGCAATTTGTACGCAGAGCAAATGAAAAATTGCGTAATGAAATCGCGGGAAACTCCAATGCAAACTCGCAAAGATTATTTGTTTCACCTTGATATCGCGTCAGCTCATAAGTCGTTTCTATGGCTGCAATCCAGAAGAAATACTTCAGTATCCTCCATATTTATCGGATCTTGCACATTGTGATTTCTATCTATTTCCGTAATTAAAAGAGTATCTGAGAGGACTAAGATATGAAGAAAATTTTACCTGTAACTTACTCATTCACACTTTTTATTGAACTGTAGGAATGTACACATACGAATTAATAAAAATGTGAGGCGATTGAGAATTGAACAAAAGTAATAAAATTGTTTTTGAAGAAGAAATAAGCAACGCGTTCAACATAATGTCTTTCATTTTTGTAATTCTTAGCACAAATTGTTTTGTTGAAAGGAAATTTTCACATATAAATATAAATCTAAAATAGACAGTTGGCTGTATTATTCTAAAAAAAAGTTGGCGCTATACCGTGTAACCTACCTAATGGCGGTTTCTCCTGCTAATAACTTAGTTTCCGCCATTAAATATATCAATGGTTTCCGCTTCGATCTAATTAATGCCATGTTTTATTTGGGAGGCACTAAAACATTATTGTAAGGAAAATTTACTATTTTCGCCTTGCTTGGCGGGCGGGTTGGCGATCGAATACAAAACATCTCGTAACATTAGCGCTACTCTCCAACAACGATACTTCATATTTGTATTGCCGGTGCACATTAGATTGAAATTATCAGCATTACCTGTTACTTACTTTTTACTTGTTAAGGATTAACATTTACCATTAAAATACATTATAAACCATCATGATGCCTTCCCCGATGAATTTCATAAAACACGACTTCCTGCATCTCGATATAGTCAACATTAAAGACCGATAATTATGAAAGAATAAGAATTAAAACGCAGAAGCGTTGTACCCCCGAGGACTAAGATGAAATGTCTCGTTTCCAGTAAAAATACTCTACACTCACCATTCGAAACACTACAAACATTAAACTGCTATTTGATCATTGAAAAACAAACACAGTACAATACAGCGTCAAATACATTAAGGTATAGTTGTACCGCGTACACTTAGGTACTTATAACTCAATGTATTTGACGCTGCAAATCTGTAATAGTGTGGTCATTCCTCGGTCAAGACGATCCACGATTCGTGTTACAGCTATTATATATATATATATATATATATATATATATATATATATATATATATATATATATATATATATATATATATATATGTATATACACACAGAGTTACAGATTAAGAGGACCTAGATCATTTAGGGGGTTGTAGTTTCCATCATTACCGACCGTTTTCACTATGAAACACCATACTCCAACTTAACCGTTTTCAAGATATTGGATATTTAAGTTTTTTTTTTAATAAAAATTGCCAAATTTTTGTCTTTAGTACTAAAATTTTTGTAATTTGTGCATCTTGTACCTTAGGTAAATAAACAATCTAGATCGTAGTAATCACAGGAAATATTAAAATTATTTTTTACTTTTATGTTGCATCAAGAGAAATTCTTTAAGAACCTTACAGCGTAGTTAGGTACTTTGATTGTTATAATTACACAATATTTATTTTAGATAAAATTATTTTTTTCATAAAAACAGACACTGAGTAAGTACCTACCTACTATTAAACTAAGAACACGAGTTGAAAACTAATTATGTAGTTTAAAAGTTCGCTACCGGTTACCGGTATAAGGTTACAT